GGGGGCCAGAAACCACAACCCCCACCCCTCTGTCTTGCCTCTGTGCCACATCATTGAGCTAAGAATGGTGATGCAGTCACACTACCTGGGAAGGAGGTTGGCCAGACTCCTCCACCCTCATGCTCCAGGGCAGGTGCTGGGCCCAGCCGGGTCAGGAAGGAATCTCTGCCCCACTCCATGGGAGAGGCTCACTTCGTGGGGGGCACCATGGGGGGTGGGGATCCCTCCTCTGCTCTGACCTGCTGCTCCAGGGAGGTTGGACGGGTCTATTGGAAAAGGTGGGGGCAGCCTGGGCATCTCTTGACATCTGAGATTCCCCATTTCCCAGCTGATCCCTGGACTGGGCAGCTCCCATGTGGGGCTGGGAGGTGATGGGTGGGGGTGGGGGTGGGGGTGACCAGGCAGCTGCAGGAGGGGATGTGGTTTACTGGGTGTTGCAGGGAGCTGGCTTTCCTCTGAGCACGACAGATTTGCCCCAGAGAGTGCAGAGAAATCATCTGATGGGAAGAAAGGGGCCGAGCTCATCACGGGCTTCCTGGGGCTGCAGCCCCCGGCGCAGTTCCTCATTCTGCTCACACTCGGGCCTCAGACTCAGTGGAGCTCAACGCCGGGGCATTGGTGACAGCGCTGAGGGGCCCCCACTGCCCCGTCATGGCATCTGCTCTCACCGTCCTCCTCCTCGGTGAGTATTGGAGACAGCCAGGGCATGTGCCCATAGGGTGGGGGATCTGAGGCCAGGGCATGTGCCAATGGCGGGGATCTGAGAACAGGGCATGTGCCCATGTGGGGGGATCTGAGACCAGGTTGTAGGATCCAGTTTCTCTGGGATCTGGTCACTAACAAGCCATCTCCTCTCCAGGCTGCTGGCTGGCCGGGCACAGCGGGGTGTGGGGAGGTGAGTATCAGTCTGTGGGGGGGACGGTAACATCAAGGACGGGGGAGGGGATGCATGGGGTGGGGAAAAGAGGAACCGAGCCCGGAACCTTCCCCAAAACTCAACCCAAACTCCCCCTGTGAGTTCAGACCCGGCCTCGTTCTTCTGTGACCTCCCCTCCCCGGAGTAACTGGGAGCTGAATCTGGCTCCTGGGATCTGAGGAAGCAGATGGGAACCGTCCCCTGGTTCAAAGTCCTGCCCCCGACAGGCTGTGAGGATCGGGGGTGGGGGCGGCACGTGGATTTATTTCGGCTCATACAAACGCTAACAGGGGCCGTCCGTTGGCTCTGGATCCCCTCAGGGAACCGAAACGTTCACAGTCAGTGCAGCCGTGGGGAGAACCTAGGGCTACCATACGTCCGGATTTCCCCGGACATGTCCGGCTTTTCGGTCTATAAATAGCCGTCCGGGGGGGATTTCTAAAAATCTAAAAATGTCCGGGATTTCCCCCCGGTCGGCTATTTATAGATTGAAAAGCGGCGGCCATGCGCCGCTGGGCAGCCAAAGCCCCTTCCTGGCTCCCCCCATCCCCTGCAGCCTTAGCACACCCCTGGCCCCCCAGCTGTCTTCCCCGTCCTCCCCTCCCCTGAACACTCCGCCCCCCTGCTCCTCCCCCTCCCCTGCTTCCCACAAATCAGATGTTCGCGGGAAGTCTGAAAACAAGCAGGGGCAGGTGGGCAGCAGCAGGTAAGCTGGGGGGGGGACGCGAGAAGGAGGGCTCCAGGGAGGCATGGGGCAGCGCGGCCCAGTCCGGCCCTGGCCGAGAGACTCCCTCCGGCCCCAGCCAAGCGGCTCCGGCCCCGGTCGGCCCCAGCGGCTCCGGCTCTGGCCCTGGGGCACCGGTCCCAGTTCTGGCTGAGCGGCGCCAGCCGAACACCCTCGGCCCCGGCCCCAGTGGCTCCGGCCCTGGCCCCAGCGGCTCCGGCCCGGCTCGGGCCCCGGGGCCCTGGTTCCGGCCGAGCGTCGCCAGCCAAGCACCCCCGGCCCCGACCCCAGCGGCTCCAGCCCTGGCCGCAGTGGCTCCGGCCCGACTCGGCTCGGGCCCTGGGGCCCTGATTCCGGCCGAGCGCGCCGGCCCGGCCCTGGCTGAGCGGTGCCGGCCGAGCACCCCTGGCCCGGGCCCCGGGGCACCTGCCCTGGTTCTGGCAGAGTGGCGCTGGCCGAGCACCCGTGGCCCCGGCCCCAGTGGCTCTGGCCCGGATCCGGCCCCAGGGCAGCGGCCCCGGTTCCGGCCGAGCGCACCGGCCCGGCCTTGGCCGAGCACCTCCGGCCCGGCCCCCAAGACCCGCGACCCCGGCCGGAGTGCAGCCCGATTCCTGGGCTCTTGCTAAAGCTGCCCCTGGTCAGGGGACAGGGAGGGGGGGTTGGATGGGTCGGGAGTTGGGGGGGGCTGTCAGGGGGGCAGGGGTATGGAGAGGGGTTGGGACAGTCAGAGACAGGGAGCAGGAGGGGTTAGATGGGTCGGGGGTTCTGAGGGGGCTGTCAGGGGGGCAGGG